ATAATAAATAAATTATATATATATTAGTCGGTGTGCAGAAGTCTTTTCCATTTAAACTTTCCCTCTTCATGCAGGAATGGACAGTAGGTGGCAAAATTTCCCCCCATCAGTTTTAGCCAGTGTTAGAAATTATAGTCCAACATCTGGTGGCCCACATATTTAGAGCCTAAAGTGGGTTCATTGCTGGTTAACAAGGGCAAAACTTTGTGACCGAGTTAATACATCATGCTAAGCCACAGTTTGTTTAACCACCCACTGTTGGCTGAGTTCACACCGTTTACTAATCATAACCCACACCAAGCCTGAATGTGGTTGGCTTCGCTTTTGCTGGGTGTAGAACAGGATCTCAACTAACCTGGTTTGTTAACTATGCTTTGTGGCTTCACAAGAAAGCCACCTAATAGTTTAGGGTGATCTGTAAAGTTAGCCTGTGCTGAAGTTATGGGGTAAACTGGACCAATTGTTTGATTTACCAAAAAGCAGACTTATTTATTTACTTATTTACTTATTTGTTTCAAAGTTTTAAAGAACCGGCTGTGGGTGCTTTCTCTAATAAAAGAGCAGAATAAAAAAGAGAAACAGATGTGTTCTTGTGTTCCTTTTGCTGTCTTTTTTAAACAGCGGAGTTTGTGGTTTTTTCAGACATCCTTATTAGGTGTGTTTACAGTTTGTAGAACTGGTGTTTGGGCTCACATTGCATTAAGACATGGCGTGGCTCAAGATGTTGTGTCAATCCTGCCAGTGTAGCATGTCAGTCACACTTTACCACTTAGCAGGCTGTCTGAGCTCCGCTACTGTGGTCTGTGAACTGTGTCTTATGGTTAAGCGTGTTGGATAAACCCAGTTAGGCATGACTTATTCAACAAACATGGCATGATACAAGTCTGAAACTCCAGTTGAAGGGAACGAGGAAGGATTGAGAAGAGGGTGACCTTCTCACCACACAACCAAAGGGGAGTTGGTGGTGTGGCATTATCCAGGGCCATAGAACTGGGTGAACTGGTCCCTGATAAGAGATCACTTTGCCCTGAAGATTTTCCTTCTGGGTTGGGATATCTTCAGACTTCCCACTACATCACAGAAATCTCCCTGCTTGAGAAAGCAATGTGGAGTTTCTTTCTATTCATGGGGGGCGAGGGGGGGGGGAAGCAAGAACCACTTTATCCTCAGCTGTAATACAGCATGATGTGTGATAGACATTAGCAAACAGGATCCCACATTAAATTTAATTTCATTCCACTCTTCCTGCCTGGAGCAATGATTCCCTTCATTTTCATTTTTCCTCTGAATTCCCATAACTCGGGCCTCTTTGAATTCCAGGTTTAATTAACAATGCTCATTAAATGAATTTTATTCCTTTCTTTTAATATTACTCTGCCACCTGTCTTTAGACATTGAGGGCTGGCTGTTTATTCTAATTTATTTCTATTAAATATGGCATTAAAGGGAGCAACAAAAGCATGCTGGGGGAAGGGAGAAAGGAGAAAATAGCAGTGCTAGGGAGGGAGCCATTCAAAAGAGGCTTCACTTCTTCCCTACCACCGTCTCTTCTCTTCCTCTGACAAAGAAACCTAAAATGGCTTTTAAAGGAAGGCCTGTGGAAGTATATTTTCCACCAGACCTGTTTCATTTGCTAAAATTGGATCAGGCATGCTATATTTTGCAGCGATTTTCCACATCATTCTTAAAACCCGTTACCCATCTAGGCTGCGTAAAGGCTGTGCTTTATTCACTGGGAAAGAGCTGAAATGAAGTTAAAAGGTGGCGGAGTTGACCCGGAGGCCTCGAGATGGCGTCCTCCGTCAGCTAAGCTGCAAAGGAGACATCCCCGTGATCTCTCCTGAAAAAGAGAGAGACAGGCTATTGAAGCAACAACAACGAAGAATTACACCCTTCTCAGCACTTTCCAGTTTGTCTTGACATTCCAGCACCTAGTTGGAGCCTCCATATGCAGGAGCAGTATTCTCCAAATATCAAGTTCTGGAGCAGAGTAATTGGAGAATGTACCCAAACCCGCAGATATTTATGTACAATCACGGTAGCCTTTGCAGTGCTTTCCAAGGGAACGGTTCCAGCTTGATGCTATGGGAAGAGATTCCTTGACATGTTGTCTGTTCGCCACACCTGATGGGCAGAATCAGACTCCCCGGGATCTGACAAAGTTGCTGAACTAAAACTCCCAGCGTCCTTCACTATTGGCCATGCTGGCTGGGGGCGCTGGGCATTACAGTCCGACAGCCTCTGGAGGAGCGTATGTCTCTCGCCCTGGATGGTGCAGATCGGGGTGTCTGCAGGGCATGGTCAAAAAAGGACCCTGGGATTGAAGCTGCACCCGTTTTTGATGTCTGTTGCGTCTAAAATGGGGAGAGCTTCCATCATAGCACTGCAGCCACCTTCTTGCCTTTTCTGACCATACCTTGCAGACACGCTTGGTACAAATGAAAAGAATGCCCCGCGCTCTTTAAAATAACCTTTTCCAAGGCAGGTGCTCTTCTGATAGGGTGAAATTAGCCATGCACAGCTGGCATTATGCACTTTGGAACCCAACATCTGCAAGGCATCGTGTTGGGTTAAATTGCTTTAGAAGGCATCTTAACACTTCGGCTAGCCTAGATTTCCAGGCCGGAAAAAATGACATAACCCTGAAGCTGGGTCTTAAATTTTGCTGTATCCAAACCATTCACACTTTCACCACTGTTTACCTGCAGGACGTTTTCCAGAAAGCCCTACTGTGTGTTTTCTTGACAAGGTAGCCACGTTTATACTTCTGAGGAAGTCACACTTTGCTTCTTCGTTTCAGTTTTAGCTTAGTGTGTTATGTAAACCCAGCCAAGCAGAGATTATTCAGTAACATGGTTTCACAAACTATGGCTTAGTACAGTGTTTCTTAGTGCAATGTTTCTCAACCTCGGCAACTTTAAGATGTGTGGACTTCAACTCCCAGAATTCCCCAGCCAGCATGCTGGGAGTT